ACATTGTTCTGTTGCTACAAGTTGCACGGTCTTTCTTTATTAGCATCGTTTAAAGTTTTCCAGAATCCCTCGAAAGACTTCACAGCACCAATAAATTTTTCAGTTTTTTGATGAAAACCGTTGAGCAAATATGTTCGGGTAGCGCACGATTAGCAAAGATTATGGAATATTTGGTAGAGCCTAGGAGATTGAAGTCTTCCTTTCGAACATGGCGAACAGTTTCTCCGCATGAACTTATGCAAGATTTTGAGCAGGCAGCCAGGAATCAGGTAATTTTGTAAGCATTTTGTGATCTAAAAATGCATTTTTTTTATTACTAGTTTATGTTCGAATTTACTTCACTTGTAAATTCGATTATTTTTCCGACTTTTGCAAAAATTAGAATAATTCGTAATTGTCGATTTTGCAGGTTTTTTCAACATATGACTATTTACAACAGCTTAAAAGGGCTAGCGGTTCCGCAGAAGAAGCCTGGAATTCAGCTTCTGTTGAATTGTGTCGAGCGAGCCGGGTACGTTGTTTCTTTGCCCAAAAAGAAATTATAGTGCCTCTCTGGATCACTTCAAAAAAAAGCAGCCGTTTAAAAATCGATAGTGGTTAACCGCCTCTTCTGCCATGACCTAATGATCTCTTGTCACAAGTTTTTTCTGAACGTACAAAACTCTGTCTCCTCCGCGGATGCATCTTCTATCGGCCATCACAGGCCGATATTTTTATCTTCGAAAAAACGTGCCGATACTTAGCTATGCTGGACCGGTGCTTGGCAATGATTTTCACTGATTTCATTGCTTTTCTTCAGTTATTCGATGCTAAACAAAAACTGCAAGTTTTTTGTCCTAAACGCAGGAATGCTTTTTAGCTTCATGTTAAATGCTATCTGGCGCAGAGTTATTTTGAACGAATAGCGCGGTGTAGGGAAGCTGACTGTGCTCGAATTCTGGAACTACTCGGCGAACTTTATATGCTTTTCGAAATTTCCAGCCATTCCAATTCGTTCAGAAAGGTAAATTATCAGCTTTCCCTCTTGTAAACGTTGTTTCGAGGAAGCGTTCTCGTAAAAAATAACGAACTTTAACGTGTT